TAATCATAATTTGGAATTTGGGATTTGGGATTTTAGCATTTGGGATTTCGGCATTTGGATTTTGAATTTGGGTGGCAGGTATATGACAAGGTACTATATGAAGGAGTAGAAATGAAAGTAATTCTGCCAAAACTCATATCAGACAAATAAGAGTTGATTCTTGTCACTTATAATAAGTGTATATTTTATGTGAATAATAGGAAAGAAAAAATTTGGATGACTGATGAAAAAATGCCATTGTGAAAAAAAGAAAATAGAAGATCGATTATGGTGAGCAAATTTATTTCAGAAACTTGTGACCAATTGAAACTTAATGAAGAAGAGGTAACAAGAAATTCAGATATATCTATAGAAGCATGTTGCTATCTTCAACCTGACAAGAATCAAAAAGTTATTAGACTTTTAAGCATTTGCTAGAGTAGATAAAATCTAAAGCAATTTCAATTTTTAAGATGAAGTTTTCTAATGCAACAGCTGTTTTTACTTTTGACAGCATATAACAAAGATACTCTTATTACAGCAAGGATGAATCTGAGTTCTGGGAAAAAGTAACTAATTATGAGATCAATAACTTTTATTAATAAAGGTGATCAAGAGGTAGCTCAGTAAATGGTATTTTCAGAAAATTATTCTGATCCTGTCTTGCGAGGAAAATCAAAAGGAATAAAAAAAATATTATAAGAATGGAATCTTTGGAAGGAAGGTTTAAGTTTAGAGTGTTCAATGTGTAAAAAAAAGAAATCTCTGCAAATTAATTATTGTGTAAAGAAGATTATAGCATTACAATTAGATTTTGTGATGCAAAGGTTAGCCATTGTGAAGTTAATTGAAAATACAGGTCATTTATATGTATTTTATTCAAAGTTTTATTGCGAACTTAATTTTATTGAAATGTATTGGGATGTAGTCAAGTGTTATACAAGAAATTACTGTAACTACATCTGAACAGGTTTACAAGAAACTGTTTCACAAGCACTTGATTTAGTAAATATTATTACAATTAGGAGATATACCTGAAAATCTTGGAGATATATACAATTGTATCATGAGGGGTTAACAGGAAAATTAGTTGAATATGCATGCAAAAAATTCAAATCGCATAGACAGATTTCACAAGATAAATTAGATGAATTTATAAAAGAAAAAAGTTATGAGAAATAAGTTTGGAGGTGATTAAATAGTGAATAATTGAATGAATTGAAAGTTATTGGTAGGTAGGTTGAGAAAAAATTCTTAATTTGTTACATATTTCTTTTATTCAATTGAAATAAAAATAATAAAATAAAATAAAGGCAAAATATAACAAATTAAGATATCATTAAATTATGTATTAATTTATCATTAATTATATATTAAACTTATTATTAAATTAGATGTTAAACTTGACAATAAATCATATGTTTCATTAAATTTATTAAACTGATTACAATAATTTCACTTACAACTTATATTAATCACGTGATTTTTCATAAACTATATGTTATTTGACTTTTTGTTTGATTTTATTTTTCCAAATTTTTGAACCAGAAAATAGGACAAATTACATAATTTCAGTTTTTAAGTGTTGTGTACTGTAACAATAGTTTTTAACAATAATAATAATTTAGTAATAATAATAATTTAGTAATAATTTAGTAATAATAATTTAGTAATAATAATCTAATAGTAATAATAATAATAATAATAATAATCTAGTAATAATAATCCAATAATAATAATTATTTTTTTAATAAATTTTTTCAACAAAATTATATTAAAGTTTAATAACAATAATTTTTAGCAATAATAATAATTCAGTGAAAATAATAATAATCTAATAATAATAATTATTATTTTAATAAATTTTTTTCAACAAAATTATATCTATAAAATAGTGCAATCTAATTGATCAAAAAATATGACCAAGGTCATAAAAATTTATACTTTATAAATAACCAAATGACTTATGTCAAGTCATAGAGGTCATAGAGATCATATTGGATCATATGTCAACACTGTAATGTTGATCATTTATCTTTGATATTTTTTAAAAATCTGAAAAATATCTGAAAGTAATTATTGAAAGTTTTTACATATTAAAATTTACTATTTACTAATTAACCATCAAATGTATAACTAATTAATCTTATAGCCAAGAATGGGAAGCATTGTTTATGAAGTTTTTAGAATTTTTTCTTACGAATTTAATTTAATATCAACAGCTGAACTTCAGACGTTCTGAAATTATTCTCTGTAATTTAACTACTTATTATTCGCTCACATTTTATTAAAAAAATCTTAATACTTTACACAAGATACAGTATATTCTTAGCTTTAATTTTACTTAGTATCATTTTTATTATCATATTAATAAAGAAAATACTTTTATATGTAGAAACGATTGATAATTATTTTCGAATTTTTTTTTATTTTTTAAAATTTTTTAATAAATTTCGGCCGTTTTCGTTCACGTCTAATTAAAGTCAAAAATTTCACTAGATACTATGAAAAATGTTTCTAATTAAAGTTGTAGAAATTGCTCTTGGCTACAATTTCATATAAGATAGTTGGTATCTATCTTTAAAACGTAATTTCTCCATTCAATTTTAACTAAAAATATATCATCTAAGATAATTTCAATCGTACTACCGAAAATTTCCGAAACCCCCATAATTCTAGGATAGCACAATTTCGAGCAGAATGACATGGGTCGGAATTTTAAATTTGGAATTTGGATACATTAGTTTAACCTTTTTCGTATTCTCTATGATGGATACCTTTTCTACTGCTAGTGGTCATCGCCTTAACCTAGTTTCAAAAGATTCCTTCGAAAGAACGCGTAAAAAGTTTGAAGCCGACTTCCAGGAAAACTCTTTGGAAAATAATCGGTGTTTTTCTAACGCTAATGAAAATGGCGTCAAATCAAAGGACACTCTTAATAGCGCGAATAGTTCTTTCAATTTTGACTTGTTTGATAGTCCAGTAAAATCCTTAGGTTTTTCTTCGGCTAATATGAAACAGCTAAAGCACGTATCCACGGAGTCTTTAATTAAAGCGCGTAGATCCTTAGGATTTGATTCTGAGGACAATGACAAAATATTTGGTGATTTCACCTTAGAAGAAAAGAACGAATTATTGAGTCAACAACCAAACTCTAAAGTCATTACAGAGCGTATAAGTTACGAAAATTGTGTTACAAAGAACGATTATAAAATGTCCGAGTCATCAACGACACTTTCAACATTGAATTTTAAAAAAAGTACACCCAAATTAAAAAATCAGCCACATTCAAAGCGTGTTCATGAATCCAATTTTTTAAATAAAATCCATCCTTTCACCCCTTTAAAGACTAAAAAACCACGAAGAATATTGCACCCAAATTTATCAGATAATTTAAATAGTCAATCTCTTCAAAAATCAATGGATCTTGATCATCCATCTCCAAATCAAATTCAAAAACTATTTGATTTAACAGGTGAATTTTTGAATTTGATATTTATTATATTTAATAAGTATTTATTAAAGAGAATTATTTCGTATTTTCTTTTAGCACCTGCGAAAAGATATAAACTTAAAGATTTTGTGTCTAATTATCCTCACAAATTTTCACTATCAAACTTACTCAAACTCAATATGTAAGTTAAAAATTATTTTAAATAAAATAGTAAAATTAAATTATTAATACTTCTAATGTTTAATTAAGTCCTCTTGAAGTAATAGAAATGACACCTTTACTCGCTGCTTCATATTGTTTTACCAAGTCTTGTGATAAAAAATGGGAAAATTCCACATGGGGTCCTAATGAAGCAATATTTAGTCTTATTGAATATGGAGCTGATCCTAATTTGATTGATAAGAAATGGGTTTACAATCATTATCAATTAATTGTGTGGAAAATTGCGAGTTTAATTCGTTCGTTCCCACATGAATTTAGTAACTGGTGGTGTGCAAAAAAGATATTAGAACAATTACAATATAGGTAAAATATAATTTTTTATTATATATACATATTACATACGTATATACGCGTAAAAATCATTTCCTCGTTAATAGATATGAAAGGGAGATCAATTGCGCACAACGTTCTGTACTTAAATTAATTATTGAAGGAGACGGTGATCCAAGTTGGCCAATGGTTTTATGTGTGTCTGGAATATACGAAGAATCCGATTCATTAGGTATTGAAATAAAGATATGTTATGCTAAAAAATATATATTATATTAAATTATTATTATTATTTCTTTTTAGACAAAACAGAAGAAATGTCTAAAATTAAATATAGTCTTGAATTAACTGATTCTTGGTACAAAATACGTGCTATCATTGACCAGCCACTTCAAAGAGCTATTTTAAAGTCTAAAATAAGAATTGGTTATAAGTTAGAAATATGTGGTGCTAAAGTACATAATGACGTTTTAATTCTTCTTTTGTTTCTGATATTTATTTTATTTATTATATTTATTTTTTAATTCTTTTAATTTTTTTTGTCATAGATCGAATGTAAATCTACCGGAATACCGGTCCTTGAAGCTTTAAGCTCAAAAATTCGCCTTAAACTTTCAGCAAATTCGACAAAACTTGCTAATTGGGATGCAAAATTAGGGATTAGAAAGTTTCATCCATATGCGTTATTACGAAGTCTTTCACCTGATGGTGGATTTGTTCACGCAATCGATATAATAATACAACGAAAATATCCATTGTTTTTTCGCGAAACTATGAAAGATGGTACTGTGGTTGTGCGAGATGTAAGGAACGAAGAAAATGCAAGGAAAGAACATGAAGTAAGCGAAGTTTGCAATGACGCTATATTAAATAATGGCAAATACGATTATTAAATAGAATTTTGTCTTAGAAAAGGGTCAACGAATTAATTCAGTCATCAATAAACAATTTCAAAGAATCAAGTGATGCCGACGGTCACGTTGATGTTGATTCTGGCGAAGATGATGCTGTTGATGGTGATTTTGTAGTTGTTGATGGTGACGTTGATAATTTAATAAAATTAAATCGGAAATCCTTATCATTACAAGGCAATTGTCTTTTTATGTCAAAATATTATTTTTAAATGCTATAGAAGTTAGACATCATTATTTCTCCAAAAAAATACATTATAGAATTTCAAAGTATTACTTCCGGTGAAGAGCTTTATAGACTACTTCATAATAATTTAGAAGCCTTTGAATTCTCTCAAAATATGAATTCGAAACAAATCGAAAGATTACATGATTACATGCAAAGAAAAGAACAGAAAAAAGCATCAAAAATGAACCAATGGATTTCAGAACAATTAGAGGTATGTATTATAAAATAATCAATTGAGTTTTAGAGATTTTTTCGTGGATTTATGACAAAATAAATATTTCATAAGATGTTAGATGGTACTCGAGATGTCGTCCCATTTTTTAAAATTCGTGTATGTGATTATCATTCCTATTCCAATGATCCTTGTAACAATGAAAAAGAAGCTATTATTACAATATGGAATCCTGAGGAACATTTAATTGATTCTCTACGAGAAGGACAACGTTACCAGGTAATTAGAAAAATGTTTCACGATTGACGATTTATTTTTACTAACAATTTTCTGTACTTATTAGATACACTCATTATCAACAGCAATCAATCAAAGTCTACCCATACGATTGAATTCAGTTGGACATTCGACTTTATGGAAAGAATTATCAATTGATACGAATAAAAAACTTTATGTTCCAAGAAAAATCACTCTTTGTGATGATCTTTGGAATAAAAAATGTAATGAAGAAGTTGACATGGTAGGAATAATTTTGGGTATGTAGTTTTCCACATAATTTCAAGTTTATTAAGAGTGCATTATTAGTTCATTATTTCATTAATTTGGGTTGAAAAAGAGATTTACATTTTTTTAATTATCTATTATTATTGGTTAGTTGAAGGAGAACTTATTACCAGAGGACAACGATACAACAAACCTATTCAAATAAAAAATGTGATTGTCACGGATAGCAGTGGACAAATAGTACAGATCGAAATTAAAAATCCATTTTTAATTTGTATGAACGAATTATTTAAGGTAAATAATATTGATTATTATTATTATTATTATTATTTACTTTATTAATATATTAATATTTATTTATTGTTGAAAAATAGCCTAAGAATACTCTCGCTTTCATCAATTTACATTATCGTGTATACGATCCACGACATTCTGTATTTATTCTTTCTACTTGTGATGAAACCGAAATCAAAATATCACCTCGAGAGATATATTTACAAGAAGCAAAAAAAAATTTAGAAAAATGGACAAAAATTCATTTTGAAATTATTGAAAAATTAGAAGCAAAAGCTATAGAATTGTGCAATCCCACGTTACCACATTAGTACTGTAATTCAGTAATTCTCATTATTTTTCAATAATAAAAATGGTTCGAATGGTCAAAATATGAAATATTTTCCTATTCCATGTTTCGAATATTCATTTATAAATAAATGCTATATATGTAATACTAGAATTTCTGAAACAAACAATTATGAAGAAACGTATGCTTTAATTACTGTATAATAAATTTACATAATGAAAAATTAAAAATAAATAATATTTGTTTTCTCAAAAAGAACTTATGGCGTTGATCTTCATTATTTTTTATTAAATATATCTTTTATTAAATTATTTCTGTATGATTGACCACGCATAAATAAACAATTGATCACAACAAACAAACAAACAAATAGTATAATTATGTACATAATTTTTTTTTGGGGGGGGGAAAGAAACAAATAAAAAAAATATAATAAATATAATTATAAATAATTAATATTTTATATTTTTCTTAGTTAATTAATTATAAATTCTTACTAAAGAAATGTATTTTTTTTTTGAATTTTTTGGTTAATTTTGTATCTCATCAATAAGACCAACATTCTCGATATGATTTAAAAGTTTTTCATAAAGATAATTAGCATCACTATGTTTTTGCGAACACGCATCTCTCAAAAATTTCATAGCTTGATCTTTCATTTGAATTGATGATCCTTTCTGATGAAATAGAATAACCCTGGCATACCAATATTGAGCATCTGAATATTCCTCAATAGCTGCTTGATATAAATATTTCAAGCTTTCTTTATAATCCGGAATTCCCTTTCCATTATCATTGTTATATCCTTTGAGATAATAATATCCCACTAAAAAATTAGTTTTTGCATCATTTTTTTTTACATTTAAATATTTCTTAATTATTTCCCATGACTTAGAGTATCGTTGTTTCTTATGATATTCAATGGCTGAATCGGGAAGTGATTTTTTAAAAGAAACAAAGTTACTAAAGAATGTTTTATAGGAAGAATTTTGAATTTCGGGAGATAAGGCTGGGAAGTAACTATCGAAAGTGCTACTCCTATTGGGAGTTTTGGGAGTATTAGGAGTATTGAGAATATTAGGAGTATTGGGAATATTGGTAATAATGCGAATGCGATTTTCATTTTTGTTTACTGTAATATTATCTTCCCGATTCGGTGCATTAAGATATGAGTTCAATAAGTCAAGTTCTTCAACTATTTTTTCTATAGAAGGTCGATTCTCAGGTTTTTGATCCCATCCTCTTTCAATAAGATCTTGATATCTTTCAGGAATTTCATTCGATGATCGAGGTTCTGGACGTTCTCCATCGAGAACTTTGTTTCGAAGATCAATTGGAAATGTTCCCTGTTTAAATGGTAACTTTTGATGAGCAATTTCCCAAAGAACTATGGCGAAACTGTAGACATCACTGGAAGCATGATACTCGTTGATATTATTATTACCAAATCTTTCCGGTGCAGTCCATCTATAATGAGTAAGAGAATAAAATAAAGATTTATGGTTTATTCAATTATTTTACGAAACAAAATTATATTTATATATAATTACCCGCTTTTTGGAGAAAATTCTACTGAGAGCAACATGTAAGGATCTTCTTTATTAATACAAAAATTGTATAACATTGGGACAAGGTTACTTGTTAACAGAATATTTTTACTGGTAATGATAGTAATAATAATAAATTCATTAGAATTTTAACGTATTTTTTTTAAAAATATTTTAAAATATTATACCTTGTGACATTATAATGAAATTTTCCTTGTTTATGAACGTGTCTTAATCCGTTGGCGATTCCACGAGCAATTGAAATTTTAGTATTCCAATCTAAAATCTTTTGTTTATGAAGATATTCTTGGAGATTATAATCTGCCCAGAGAGTAACAGAATGGAAAGAACAAGGTTGTTTTTGGAGACAATAGCCATAACTATAAAAAAAGAAATTGGTTCATTTTATCTTGAAAATAAATATAATATTAAAGTTATAAAAATTTACATAAACTTACAAGGGAAGTATGTTTTCACATCCTCGTCCAATTTCTTTAACATATTTAATTTCCTCGATATATTCCTTTGGTTCAATCCCTTTCTGTTTATACAATCCAAATTCTTTAACCGCAACAAATTTTCCTTTATAAAAGATCTTTTTTACGTTACGTTTCCCTTCATCTATGGAATCTTTAAAGTTAATTTCGATTTCATGTTCCCTGTTACCCAACGTTATTAATCTCGCAAAGGCTTTGATCTTGCTTGTAATATTTGAATTCCAAGCTTTTTTTCGAAAATTGCAATTATTTACTGTATTAACTTCATTATTATTAATGCATTCTATATTAAGGTTTTGATTGGCGTTGTTGTCATTATTGGAATTGATTTCTTCTTGTAAATCCTTTGCACACGAATTCAATTGATTCCAAAATTCTTGCAAGTTTGAATCCAAATCTTCCGAAATTTCTTCATTTAAATTTAAATTTTCCAAATCTTTTTCAATGTTGTTAATAATATCCAAGTATTTTTCAATTGAGTTATTTAAAGGAGTAGAAAAATAAGAAGTTTTCGCGATTTCTTTGATATTTTTTAAAAGAACTAGACCAGTTTCAATAGAAACTCGAAGATTATTTTTGATTTCTTGATTTTTGACTTTTTTGAATTCATTCAAAAGATTTTTTAAAGAATTATCGATTTCAAATAAGTTATTATGATAAGGTGTTCGTGAGACAGTGGTCATTGTGGTCATTTCGGATAAAGTAGATATAACTTTAGCGGATGGGAATATGAAATAAAGTTGTTGACGTTTTAATTGAGTTGAAAATTATCAAATTCGTCCATTTTTTAGAAGATAAATTTAATCGTATTTATATTCTAATATTTTTATTTAACCTTCTAATCTTAGTCTAATTAAAATGTTTCGTGTAACGAGTTATTTTCTGTCATATTTCATTCCAAATGCTCGTACTTGAGAACCAAATTCCAAAAAAAGGGTTCTCTCCCTTATATTAATATTAACAAGGCATTTTGCATTGTTAATACATTATTAGTCGTACTAAATTTAATTAAAAAGGAATGGTTTGTCCTAATTATTTCCTTGTATATTCTAAAAGTTATTTAAATGATACTTCGTATATTTCGTATATGCATTAAGGTTATGTTCAAAAACCAATTACGTTATCATTCATTCATTTTTTCCTGATTGATAATAGAATTATCGCCAAAAATAGAACAAATGGTTGAAACTAAATGCACGCCATAAAGTAATTCTTGAAATTTGAATCACGGAATTTTATACATTTGTACTGTTTAATTTCTTTTCACGCGCCTGTTTATGCCAGAAAACAATTCTATTCTTTTCTGAGCTTTTAATATTATACTTTTTGTAAAACCCACAAAGGTTATCATTTGCTTTTTTATTTATCACGTAACTTTGTTTTATAACTTTAAAAAATGAATATTTAAGCATTGTTGCGTTACATATAAATTCTTGATAAAATGTAATTAAATTTTTTCCCAGTTTGAAAAGAAAAAGAAGATTTATAAAATATATCCTTTTCAAATGTTAAAAAAGATCTGTCTTTACAATATTGCATTAACTGTGAATTAAATTATTTCTGATATCAATCTTACGAATATTTTGAATCTTCATTTTAATCATTGACAATGTCTTTAATTCCAATGTATTGGTTTCTTTGTCTATAACGATTTCATTGCAAATAAATGTGTAACATGTTATGTAAAAAAGGCAAGTTTAATAACCTTTGTATTATAAAAATATACAAGCAGAAATTTCGTAATTTTCAAAATTAGGATCACCTGACTATTAACCAATCATAATTGATTTTTGTCTCATCGATCGTCTTTCATTGTTTTATATAAGTGGGAATCCCATGCCTTTGGCAATTAATGTATCACATAGTTGAGTATTGAATCACACATAATCACACATGTCCTCTTAATTATATGCTCATATATTAGAGCAAAAGAACTTCAGGATAAACTATATTGATATTCTTACTATCACTACTTTCAGGCGAGTATAAAATTTTAACTCGGGAGCAACGGGAACGGGCTACATATGACTAAAAACATGAGTACGCAAATCTATACCTGCATATTTAACAGACTGAACTTGGGACTTATTAATAGTCATTGCAAAAGCTAAACAGATGGAAAATTGTCTTCTCATAAACTTGAATGGCAACTCTGAGTTTGATGGTATATTATTTATATTATACACTGAATTTTCATGTGATCCACCGACCTCATTCATTTCTGTTTTATAATAGACTAGTGGATACCCCGTGCACTGAAATGAAGTGACATGAATCATAAATTACAAGTTTTTGCGTATCACAAACCATCAATTATAATCACCAATAATAATGCTTCTTTATCTAGCCAATAAAATTATATTTTTATACCACCACTGTCTGTGTATATATTGAATATTTACAAATACAGTACATAAAATCGAATTTTTAAGTACGTACTAATTTGAGATGAATGCATTTATTTAGCTATTATTATTTACATAAAGAATAATCAGAGGAAATTTTTAAATTTGAATAAGTTAATCACTAAAAACAATTATAATAAATTTAATAAATTATACACGCAAAAAAAAAAATTTTTTTAAAAATAATAAAAATAAATTCCTCATTAATAAAAAAATATTATAAATAATATAAAAATATTCATAAGAATATAAGAAATATAAACATGGGAATTTATTGAAAAAATTTTCTTGAATATACGCGTGTATATATGTAAAAAAAGATATAAGTGTATTAACAAATTCAATATATATATATATTTTTTTTTTAATTTTTTTTTTGGGGGGTTAAATCTTAAAAATAGATTTAATGTAAATCAGATTATGCGCATAATGTGGCCAATATATGTGATGAAGTGCAAATGAAAAAGTAATAAGTGTGAGAAAAAGTAGTGAGCGGGAAGAATGTGGATGTATACATGTATATAAAATTTTTAAATCGAAATTTAGTTGTCAATATGGAAAGAAATTCGACTGAAAGAAAATTTTGTTAGAATATAGAAAATAAAAAAAAAAATTGAAAAAATGTAATAAAATTACCATAACTTACAATAATGGGGATGTGTGCCAAGTACATATTTACACTAACTTGTAGAATAAATTTAATAAGTTTGAAGATTTAATTTCTCGAAAAATAAATAAATCTTCAGTTCATAAAAATTTTTATGTATACCGAAAAAAAGAGGGACAAGTTTATTATTAAATTGAACCGGTCCAATTAAAGATCCAAGAAAAAGGAGATCATACACCCTCAAAACAAAAAAAAATAAAATAATTTAATTCGCAAGCTTCGTCTTGGCGGCTCTCACATTCCTCGCGACCATTGCGTGAGCCCTTCCTGCCCCACAAGGTTTATAAAGGTCAATTTAACTATCTATTGGGAATGGAATTTGAGGCCTACACTAATTGATCAAATTATTATATTTTTTTTTGATAATGTGTATATTGTATGTTCGTACGAATTGTGCGAATTGCACGAAGCGCTTGGAACTTTGGTACCTTCTTTTTATCGATTATTAATTAGAAAAGGAAATTTAAAAAAAAAAAATAATTGAAAGGAAAACTGATCTGGTGGTTTAGTCAATGGTGTTTATATATAAATGAGTGTAAAAGCCACTATGATAAATGAGAAATAAATGAAAAATGAATGAAAAATAAATGATAAACGCGGGGTTTGTTTGGAGGCTTAACTGAGTGAAAAAAATAATATCTATAGATCTTTGCAAAATAAATTTTGAGGCGATGAAACAAGAGATAATTTCCTTTCTTTGACAAATTTTAATTATGAAATTATTTATAAACATTTTATTTTTATTAACATTTCTTTGTTATTCATGAGAAATAATAATAAAGAAAAAGAAGGCTTAAAAACAGGTATTGACATTGGTTAGGCTATGCCCTCACGATTAATGACACGGCTTATGTTTTTTAATGGATAAGCCATTAACATGACATAACGATCTAATTATTATTATCCATTATTCAAAAATAAGTGGCTTTAATCTAATTTCTCCTTTTGGAAGGTTTATTGTATTGTAATACAAATAATGTTTGAAACAAATAGAATTTTTCTTGAAGCTTTTGTATGTTCTTATCGATGAGGCTTACATTATATATTTACTTTAATATACTTTATATGGTTAAATTCAGGAGGAAGACCAATTCTTCTTCGAATAATTATTTATTGTTAATATTTAATCAAGTGAATTTCATTTTAACCAGGTGCGAGGATCTCGAGGGTTTTGGGTTTTGACCTTGCATACTGAAACATTCTCTGTTGGTCGCGAGATAGTTGTTCTATTATTGCCGAGTGAGTACAACCGCTTTTGGTTGTAATGTCATTCTTGTATGCATGTATTGTTTTGAAAAAATGATTATGAATGTGAAGAACAAAACGTCGTAAATTGTGTCTAAAACTACAAACTGCCAGAAATAATGAATTGAGAAAGTCCGAAAATAATATGATTGTAGATAGTAGATATTCTTTTAAAAAAGAAAGATCTTGATAACCACTTACAGAGATGATATAGATCCCAAGTAATATATTTTTATTATTATTATCTTTAATCATTACAATAAATGACTTTAAAAAAAATTCTAAAAATTACGGATATAATAAATTAAACAACCACATCACACACATTATAATTAAAAATTTAAATTTTAAATTTCCTAATAAATTCATTACTTCCTCTTTTATAACAACAATCAAATTTTTCATTCGTTTTTCATTACTTAACTCTTCTTTTTCATCAAGTACTATTACCACATCACCATCATTATTATTATTATTGATTTTATTATATGAAATAAACCTTGAAATGTCACCACTTATTCCGTTTATGATTCTACTTTTACCACAAATCCATTCTGTCAATTCTTCAGTTGCTTTGGTTAACCAATGACTAACATAAATAAAGATAAAAGTAGTAATTACAAAATTTGTCCAAAACATTTCTGGAGGTGTAACAACAAGTAATCCTTTAGTGTCAGCTGCAAGCCACATATGAAATTGTGCAATAAAAGTTTCTAGTGAACAACGTCCAAAAAATATAAATAATCCACTAGTTTTGTTTCTTAAATATTGAGTAGAATTTCGAAGAATTATGAAACTTATTATAGGTAAGAAGGAAATATATGGATGATATTCATTATATTCAAATTTACTGGATCTTGATAATTCAAACCAGAAATACCAAACTAAAGTAAGGATAGAAAGAATTATGGAATTACGCTTTAAAGTTGAAAAATATCTTTTCTCTGAAATCTGATATTCTTGAAATTTGATAGTGACAAATCCTACAATCATTCCAACGAAAACTATCAATAAATCTAATCTTACTCTAAACCTCCATTCATGTGCTGACCAAGTGATATTGAAAATATTATTTAGAATTTCAAATGTTTTTTCTAATAAACCAGGTGTTAATATAAATAAACTAGATATTATAGATGCTATAAATATTTTTGTAAAGAGAAACCACGTGGACTTATTTTTATTTGATTTTATGTACATTGTTAGGTATATTATAATAAACCAGAAAGTCGTTAGTGGTGAAAAGTAATAATAAAGATAATTTGAGTTCATGAGATATATTAAAATGATTGTTAATAAATTCAATCGAATTAAAACTGTAGCTATTCGCTTAAATCCGAAATCCGCTTTCTTATAGAAATAAATGAAATGTCCATAACCGGTCATGAAAAGATATGAAGCAACTAATATACGGATAGGATTATATATACCATGAATACTTGACGCTCCAAAGTAATGATATACCAATACTGAAAGTTGCATCCAACCTTTCCATTCATCTGTTTGATCTCGATTTAAGAAAAGTTGATCTTTTTCATTGGTTTTAATTGTGAATAAACCAAAAATAAAATATAAAAGGTTGAGAAAAGTAAATGAATAAAAATTGAATTGTTTTTGAGATTTTGAAAATAAAATTGTTCGATCTGACCAATACATATAAATAATGGAGAGACCTAAAATTGAAAGTGAAACTAATGTAGATTTTTGTGGAATTATCTTTTCTATAAATCCTAAAGTGTTAGATTCTTTTAAATAAATAAATATATATATAATTATTAGAATATTGTTAATAAATAATAAAAAATTTATAGTTAAATATATAAAACTTACCATAAGTTCTATAATAAATTATAATTGGTAAATTAATTACAAATAATGTTATTGATGTTATTATCAAAGTTTGTATCCAATTACCTTTTGGATATCTAAAACAACATGTATTATCAAAAGGAATCTTTTTTGGAATGATATTATTACATCTAAAATTTAGTAAAATATCCATATGCACGTTTAATAATTCGTCATTAAAATGTAGTCCATCTTCTGTTGCATCGGGAATACCCTTAAGAATTTTGTTAAAAACAAAAGGAATATTAAAATCATCTTGTTTCATGAAATCATTTCTTAATTCTAAAATTTCCTGTCTCTTGAAAGCAAGATAATTATTCATCTTGTCAATATCTTCTTGATGCATGGTATTTGCTCTAACTTGACTCAATTTTTCATAAATTAAATTTTCAACTGGAGATAAAAATATAGAATCCGAGATATTTTCTGATTTTTCTGATTTTGTTGTAATGTCAATTTGAGATGTAAATGAATCTATTATTGTATCAATTTTTTTTTGCCAACTATCGTATCCTCCTGAATCAGGATATCGTAAATACCATAATCCTGTTCCAAGAAACAATATACTAGGTTTTATTGAATTTGAATAAGATTGTTGACTAAATAAAATATCATTAATTTCTGTTGAATTCAAATAAGGATCCCAAATGAAGTCAAGTGTTATGTTTTCGTTCATAAGAAAGTGTAAATTTGAATGAGCATCATTGATAGTTTTAACATTGGGATTTATTTTTTTTGTTAAAGTATAAAAGAGTTTTCTAATCAAAGAATCACCTATGAATAAAACACGTCGTTTTGAGAGACAGGTTTGAATATCTTTTAATTGATATTTATGCATCATACAACCTTTTGGTTGCCAGTTTTTATGTAAAGAAGTACCATCTAACCACCATCCATCTTCTAATAAACTATTACAATGATATCTGTCCGAATTATCTTTTTTTTTAAAGAGGGAAATTTAAAAATATAAATTAGAAATGTTAAGTTTAAAGGATTCATTGTTTAAATTAGTTGTATATTCATCGAGAATAAAAATTTAAAGCTCACTTTTGTGGTAGTTTCCTATCGCAAGCATAAAAACAAAAGATAATATTATCCAAAAAGTATAATGTACAAAATTAGTCTTCATCATTTTTTTTTAAAAAATTTTAATGAATAAGATATTTCAAAATTTATTATCGATGACACGAGAAAGACGAACAAGAATATAATTAAAAATATTAATTTTTAATGGAGAGTTAATATTTGTAAAAATTGAACTTTATATTATACAAAATGTCTCTATCCCGCACTTTTTATTTTAAAATTATTCTTTTCTTACAATCATTTGTTTCGTAAACGTAATATAACTTATGCATCCAAATTTGGGACTTTGATTTAAGAAATGCCAACCCTTTTAATTATTTTCTTAATTTTTTGCTTTAGTTACCCTTATTATTTAATTAACATATGCATGATATTTAACACAAACTAGGCCTGCTTTACTGTAATTGGAAAAAACATAGATTTAAACAATTTAAAAAGCAGAAAAATTTTAGTCTACCGCGCAGCCCTCGACCAAATATACTCTGAACCTGATTACTGAACAGCCAATACGACCTAGTTACCGACACAGCCTCTCAAATAAAGAATTTAATATAATATCACACTTTCCAGCATTTCTTACTATATAAAGAAAAATAGGACTCGATAGCTCAAAAGAACCAAAAAATTCGTGGACGAAAAATTATGCTACTCAAATAGTAATGTAAGAATTTCGAGACCAGACTTATCGAATTTATCTTAACCTTTAAGCTTTATAATTTCCTAGTGGCAACTAAAAAACTGTATAAACCATGCCTTATTATACTTGTTTAATAAAAATCGAAGATCGACCTTTATTATTATTTAATCATATTTTGAAACGGGAGAATATTCAGGAGAATTATTATGTATTTTGAGTAAATATTGAAAAGAAATTGTGAAAATAAGTAAGTGAAGAACAAAATAATGAGAAAAAGGAATGCAAGAAATGTAAAAAGAATGTCAAAATGTAAAAAATGTAATTATTTTTATTATTTCTATATTTATATTTATTATCTATATTCATAATTTATATTCATTATTTATATTCATTGTTTCTAATTTTATTTTTTCTACTCTTTATATTTATTTTTCCCGCCCAGTCAAAACTGGCTCTAATAAGGATATATTATTATAAACTATAAACCTTTTTTGAGAATAATCAGCTGAATTTAAAGTTTTACATTTTTTTTTTTTTTAAGGTTTTTGTTTAACTGATCGTAAAGAGGAAAATGACCTTTTTAAATTATATTTTTATTTACTTAAAGCATTAAAAAAGTTGGTGGCGTAAACGTGCAATAACGAGAGAGATGGATAAAGTTTTTAAAAAACTTTTTTTTTTTTTTTTAAAAAAAAAAAAAACCGGAACTTCAATACGATAAACATGTTTGAATGAATATTCATTAGGCATTTAAAGAATGTGATTGACAGAAAATGGTAGCGAGAGGCGGTTCGAGGGAAAAAAATTAAAGTTTAGATTTTTTAAATAAAATTTTTTTATTTCCAGCTTACAAAATGCAACTTAGCAATGACGTTCTTTTTTTCCAATTTATGCATATTGTTTTTTAAATTTATCTAATTGGGGCTGAAAATAGGAACATAATTGGAACAATATTAAACAATGCTTTGACACTGTATTGTCAAAAATATTGTCATTATCGTCGCGCTGCGAAAACGGTAGCTCACGTTTATATTGTACTGTACACACGATAAGCAGAAATAAGCAGAAGCAATCAACCTAAAAAAAGAAAATTCAGAAAGAAAATAATGTTTATTTTTCCGAAATAATTGAAATAATCGTTGAAAGAAAAAAAATTATTATTTATTCGTTTTTTTCATTTATTTTCATTTTTTATTTTCTTAAAATTATTCGTCATTATTTGATGAGAAAAAAATGAATAATAGCTCGTTATTATTATTATTATTATTTTTTTATATCGATATCAAAATGATATACTTAATTCTGAAATGTCAAATGTCATAATATAAGGAAATAAGTACTGACAATCAATTGAAACATAACAGATTCCCGGCAAATAAATTTTTTCGAATATTTCTTTGGTTTTTTATTCGCGCATTTATTGTAAATAATAGAACCGTATTTATTCGCGCATTTATTGTTAATAGTAGAATATATATGAACCATAATAAAGCGTATACATATGCAAAGAAATGTAAGAAATGTGTAATATAAATCTGATATATTATAGACCTTACCATTATTTTTTTTTTCTAAAAAAAATTTGTAAAATGCGAGACGTATTGATCATCACGAGACAAACAAAAAAAGTATATGATTTTCACTCTCGATGAATACGTTAAATATCGACGGCGTAGAGATTTTTTGCATTATAATATTATGATTCTTTAATTGTTTCGATAATTAAAGGAAATAATTGAATTTATATACAGATTACATTCGATAAATATTTTTATGCAATAATTGTATCACTTGCATTAAAGTTTATTGATTGGCCTGCTTTGAAATTCACAAAGTCAAAATAGTATATATTAAGCGTAATCATTAATAAATTGTACAACAAGTTACATATTTGATCCTGTGATTTCATAGTATTTCATGCATTAAGAATTGTGATATTGTAATTAATTTAATAAAAATGGTGGTACATTATTATTAAAACATTCATATTTTATATGAACAAAAAAAAATAATATCAAGTAAACAAATCGGCGTAAATAAAAAAACTGAATATGGCAATATGGTACTAGTTGAAAACAGTAAAATACGTTAAAATTGCCAACCGTTAGACCATTGTTAGACTTTTTTTTTCTTCTCTCTATTTATTATCGTTTTTTTTTATTACCTTTGCCAGTTACCACCTTTTAATTATAATCTTTTTTTCTTCTTTTCTTCTTTTACTCTTCTTTCTTTACGTTGCTAGATAATTCTTTAAAGAAAGTTTTTATCCATATATTTTTTTTTTATTCCTTTTTCAAATAATAAATTATAAAAAATGGGTCTCGGAAAAGTCTTCACAAAATTCGTACGAAAAGTAAAAAAAGCTGTTAATCCGAAATTAATAAAAAGTGCTGGTGAATTTTTAATTTTAACTTCATTATTTGTTTTTCATTTTTTCATTTGTTCATACAGGACGCAGTAATTTTAGCAAAAATATTAGCATTTTTTTTGCGTTTCAAGTAGACCGACTTGTTTTAGTTGTTTTCACTATAAAAGTTGGCATTAATTTATGTTAATTAATTTATTCTCTTTCTTTTTTTATTATTATTAAACACAAAAGAGGTATCGACTTTTTCCGATGAAACCAATATGAAAATGGACATTACTCGAGAAGTAACAGGTGATAATGAATCTGAAATATTCAATGAGACTAACAGGATTGATGAATGGTGGTCAATCGAGGAAGCAAGGATTATGACGGAATTACGACGTATTGGAGAAAATCTTTGACGACCATTATTATACAAGAACTTTTATTACAATATTCCTATCCTTTAAAAAGGAACAGTAATTGAAAGAGAAATTTATCACTAATATAATAAAAAAAAAAAGTAAAGATTAACGAACGAGAAGAAAAGATAATTAATAGTATTAAAGCTTCGCTTCGTAGCTTAAATAAAAAAAAATAAATTTATAGATGGAGATGAAAAGAGCTATTGAGAATTCATGAGAATTCATGAGAATTTGTGATGAAGATATAAGATAAAGAAGATCATGTTTTCATGAAACAATAGCAATATTTCAAAAAAAAAAACTAAAAAAAGGAAAAAAAAATTAGTGACGTCGGTGTCAATATTCTCAAGTTCGAATTAAGTCGAATTAAGTTCGAATGAAAATAATAAACCGAATAATGAGTAACCAGAACAAGAGTTTTATGCGAGATACTCTTCTGAATTTAATTGGATAATCCAAAAAGTCAAAAGCAATACGACTGGCATCGACTGCGATTGAAAGAATTTGTTATGATTCCGAATTAAACAAAAAAGTGTAAACTTACAAAACTTGTTCTCAATAATTATTACGCACAGTATATATATGTATTTTTATTGTATATAATTGTGCATTAGGAATGATTTATTTTTTTTTTGTTCATGAGTTTTTAATGGATTGATGGATTGATGGATTGACAAATGGGATCGAAAGATGTATATATTTATTGTATTTTTATATTTTTATATTTTTATATTTTTATATTTTTATTTATTTTATTATTATTATTTATGGTTTGGTTAATATTATTATCATTATCAAATATATTATATATTATTATACGTTATTTTATATTATTATAGTAGTAATAGGTAGGTTTATTTTCTTTTTGCTGTATTCTTCTTGTTGTATTCTTCTTGGTAGTTGATTGCTTTTAGAAAATTTAAAGTGGTTAAAAATAGTGGGTATGGGAGAGATTGTAAATAGTGAAATCATTAAATTAAAAAAAAAAAAACTTTATAAATAAGAATTATCCAAAATTAAAAACTACTACCAACCAAATTTTTTTATCTATCACGAACGTTTGTCGCCAAATATAAATTTTTCATAAATCTCTATGAGTCATAATCAAAGAAAGAGAAAAATAATTCAGATCAGTCAGAAGATGTGCCACTTAAGCCTTACACTTGGAGGCGTTGGTCGGCATTACAGAATCAATGTTTGAAATTCAAATTTTAAACCCTGTGTGACACAATTTAGAATTCTATATGCGAATTCCTTTCTTTTTATGTGCGGAGTTTTCAAATTTTGTGCACATTCCCACAATGTATGTACAGAACGCCTATCACATTTCTGATCATGCCCAATAAGGAAATACCTATTTTTCTGCAAGGATCATCAAAGATCTCAGGGGGGTAGGAGTCCTACCGTAAGACTCTCACATAGCCTTTTGCGTGGGTTGTTGATCATTTCTGTATTTATTCAACTAAAACATTGTCTTGAATCTTAGATTGTAAATATGAGATAATAACAATACAAGTATTTGTTAATAAATGTAAGACGCGGGCATATTGATTCTAAAAAATAAAAAATAAAATTAATTACGTATTAATTTGGATCGACCTGTATTAAATACATCAGTATTCAATAATTTTTCAAATTAAAATGGCATCAATATCGATTGATTCTCTTGTTCAAGAATGGCTTCGTTTAGATAAGGTTCCATGAATGACCTTGATAAATCTCTCTAAATTTATTTTGATTATTTATTCATAAATTTGCAATCGATGATATGTTTATTAATTATTATTATTTATTTTATTATTATTTTTGATAATAATTTTTTTTTTTTTTTACCTAGAATCCTTCAACACGAAGTGAAATTGAAAAACTTTACGCAGAGAGAAATGTTGATGAACTAGAAAAACGACTTCGTTATCGAATTTCGTTTGGTACTGCAGGTATTTTTTTCTAAAAATTTATAATTAAATTTTCTATTAAATAAATATATATATATATATAATTATATTTAACTTAGACTTTTTTTTTTTAATTTCTTTAATTAGGATTAAGATCAAGTATGCAAGCTGGATTTTCAAGAATGAATGATCTAATTGTAATTCAAACTTCACAGGTACAATATATAAATTTATTATTATTAAATTATCCATCATCATTATTATTATATATTAGATATATGTATAATTTTCTCTTTCAATTTAGGGTCTTTGCATGTATCTTTTAGATACAATACCATCCTCACCAACCAGAGGTGTTGTAATAGGTCATGATCATAGATATAACTCTGAAAGGTTTGCAAAATTAAGTGCGGCAGTATTTTTATCCAAAGGATTTATAGTTTATTATTATAGAGAATTGGTTCATACTCCATTAGTGGTAAGTTATAGATTCATATATTATAAGAAATTTAAATATTAGGAATTTTCATTAATATTTTCTTTTTTAGCCGTATGGAGTAAAGAAATTAAATGCTGTCTGTGGAATTATGATTACTGCTTCACATGTAAGTTATAATTTATGCTATTGTGTGGTATTTTCAATTTAGTTTTTTTCTTAAAATAATTTTTTTTTTTAGAATCCTAAACAAGATAATGGATATAAAGTGTAATTATGTTGCTATTTTATTCATTATTATTTTTATTTTATTTTATTTTATCCTATTTTATTTTATTTTATTTATTTGTATGAAATATTTTAATTATGTGTGATTAATCATTCAATTATTTTTTGAAAAAAAAAGTTATTGGGAAAATGCATGTCAGGTAATAATGTAATAATTATTTTTTTTAAATAATTTTAGTAATTTTTAGTAACATTTGTTAATAAATCAAAAATCTTTTATTTATACTGCATTATCTTAAAGATTATCCCGCCTCATGACAAAGGGATAGCAGATGCAATTTCAAATAATCTTGAACCTCAAATATGGGATTCTGAACTAGTAAACAATAATTCACTTTGTATTGATAAGACCAAAGAAATTTCAGATTCTTATTTTGAAGAAATTAAAGAATTGTCCCATTATAGGTAAAATAATTTTTTTTAAAATAATTTAAGTTTTTTTTTAAAAAAAGGATAATTTTATAATTTAATGTCAATTTTTCTAAACAAAAAAAAATATTTAAAGGGATGATAATGTCAATTCAAATATAAAAATAGTATACACACCTATGCATGGAGTAGGATATCCGGTAGCTAAGAATGCATTTAAAGCATTTTCATTGAATGATTTTATAGTTACGAAAGAACAGATGAATCCCGACCCTGATTTTCCAACTGTTGCGTTTCCTAATCCTGAAGAAGGAAAAGGTAAAGTTTTATAGTAAAAATAATAATAATTAATTGAATAATTGTTGAATTTTTATTTTAATATACACATATATATATATATATATACATAAAATAGGAGCATTGGTATGTCATGTCAAAATACTTAATTATGTTATACATTATTAATATTATAATGTATTAACTAATATTTTCTATATATTTTGTATAGGCACTATCTATAAAAACAGCAAATGAAGTTGGAGCACGAATCATATTTGCAAATGATCCAGATGCTGATAGATTTGCAGTTGCTGAAAAGGGAAAAAAGTAAGTTTAATTTATTTTAAATTATTATTTTTCACATCGAATAATTAAAATTTGTATATTTATCAAAAGTGATGAATGGGTAATATTTACTGGTAATCAAATTGGAGTTATGTTGGCATCAGTAATATTAGAATATTATAAAGCTAATGGTGAACCAATTAGTAAGTTATTTTTATCTTTTTATTTATTTATTATTTATATTTAAATAGATATTGAATATTATTAATTATTTTATATATTAATTAATATATTGTAACAAGATAAATTAGCAATGCTTTCAACAGCTGTTTCATCCAAAATGTTATCAACAATGGCAAAGAAAGAAGGTTTTTATTTTGAAGAAACTTTAACAGGTTTTAAATGGTTAGGTAATGCAGCTATTAAATTATCAAAAGAAGGTTACAAAGTATTATTCGCTTATGAAGAAGCAATCGGATTTATGATTGGAGAAATAGTTAGAGATAAAGATGGTATAAGTGCTTTAGCTCTGTTTGGAGAGTTAGTTATACAATTGAAAAAGAGAGGAATAGAAATTAGAGATTATTTAGAAGAGTTATATCAAAAGTAAGATGATTTTATCATCATCATCATTATTATTACATTAACTATAATTAAATTTTATTGTGTATATGATTTAGGTATGGATACTTTGTATCAGACAATTCATATTTTATTTGTAATTCTCCAGTTACAATTGATACAATATTTAATAAAATAAGATTTGGAGACAATCCAGTAAGTTCATAACATTAATTATATTAATAGCTAATAGTTAATAATAATAATGATGATGATTATTAATAATAATTAATAATAATTTTTTTTCAGATTAAATCCTCTGATCCAGATGTGAGTATTTTAAAATCTCAATTTTTTATTATTTAATTTCTTATTATTATAATATAAAAATCTAATAAATTTTTTTCTTCTTTTAATTTCATAGTATCCTTATCCATATCTAATTTCATATCCGGAAAATATTGGTGGTTATAAAATCACATATATTCGAGATTTAACAATTGGATATGATACAAGCAAATCAGATAAAAAACCAACATTACCAATATCAAAAAATTCTCATATGATAACCTTTGGATTGGAAAATGGATGCATTGGAACTTTAAGAACTAGGTTATTATTATTAATATTGTCATTCATTATTTCATTATTGTAGGATCATTTTGTATTTACTTACATTTCATTTCATTCATAATCTTATAATAGTGGCACAGAACCAAAAATCAAATATTATTTTGAATTATCAGGATCAGATCGTGAAGAAGTAATGAAAGAATTGAAGAAAATAATTGAAGGCGTTGCAAATGAATTATTGGAACCCCAAAAGTATGGATTAGGATATAGATTGAATGATTGAAAAAAAAAATATGTTCACTTTTTTTTTACTTTTATTGTTAAACTCATTGTTCTAGAATCGCTATTGAAAATACATATACATATATTTAGTAATTAAAAATAAAAAATTCCATGGCTATATCTTCTATTATAAGTTAGATTATTACGAACGTAGATCATTTTAAAAATAATTTTTTTTTTTCTGATATGATTATCTAATTTTGGAAATTGATATAAACGTATAATTCAACATTTTTGGAGGGTTTAAATGGAATTACTAAGTTTGTATAAGAGTGGGGAATATTATTAAAATAACTGATACGTATAAATAAAGGCAACTAATTAATAATTAATTCGAATTATTATAATTATTAACAATTATTTCCAAGATTTTGATTTTAAATTCTGATATAAATAAAGACACCTTGTAATTATTAAATTATTACAATTATTTCCAAGATTTCGATTTCTTCATAAACAAAAAAAAGAATGGCTCTAGAAAAAGCTACATTTGCTGCTGGTTGTTTCTGGTAGAAATCATTTTATATAAGTGAATTAAATTAATTAAATTTCAAAAAAAAAATATATATATTTAAAATATTTAAATTTAATGTTAATCATTTAATTTAATTTATTTATTATAAAAATAGGGGAGTAGAACATGTATTTTCCAAAAATTTTAAAAACCTTGATATTAAAACTAAAGTAGGATATATTGGTGGAAATGTTAAAAATCCCAAATATAAAGAGGTAAAATTAAGAAATAAATTAATATAAAAAATAATAAAAATAAATTAATAAAAATAATCTTTTCTTTAGGTTTGTTCAGGTACAACCGATCATGCTGAAGCCTGTCAAATTCTTTTTGACCCTTCTAAAGTATCATACGCTACCCTTGTAGAATTTTTCTACAAAATTCATGATGCTACCACATTAAATCAACAAGGACCTGATAAAGGTTCACAATATCGTTCAGCTATATTTTATCATTCAGAAGAACAACGAAAAATTGCAGAAGAGGTGACACAAAAAGTTCAAGAGAAAGTAAAAAATTACGAAAAGAAAATTTATGTGAATGATAAAATTGTTACAGCAATATTGGAAGCAGGAGAATTTTATGATGCTGAAGAATATCATCAAAACTATTTGGTAAGGAAAAATCAATTATAATAATCTTTTTCTAGAATTTAATATATATATATATATAATTAATATAATTAATATCCAATTTTGATAATTTGATATCAAATTCTGATATATATAGGATATTAATCCAAATGGATATGAGGTAAATATCTTTTATACAATATTTATATTTTATCATTCTATTCTATTTTTATTAAGCAACATTCAATTTCACATCTTTTTTTTTTTAAAAAAAAAAATTCGCAGTGTCCAACTCATTACATTAGATGGTAACGAACGACCACAAATGAAAATTTATTATTATCACATTAATTATGATATTTATTTATATTTAACGTAAAAGATGGCTATACAATTTGATACTTATAGTTAATATTTCTTTTTGTTACAAATAATAAATCTGTCATAATTATCGGAATTAACATATAGTTCATTATCTTTATATATTCTATACACATGTATTTTTTAAAGATAATATTTCATAATTTTTAAATATAAATTATTTACCAAATTTATTATAACAAATGGATACCTTTATAATCAAATGAATATTATGTGGATAATTACTTTCTTGATATTAATTTCCACATTGGCCCTTAAATTGACTTCTGACACCTGACACATAGCATAATTTTCAAGTCATTCGTATATACGCGTTGGCTTATTGGTCATACGTTTTTCATAAATTTTAACATAAGTTCGAAAACCAAATACTAGAAATCTTAAGAAGAATAAATATCGAGTTTTACAAAATTAGGGGAATATTTCATGAAGTAATTCCGAGCCACTCGGATAATTAGATAAGAACTGTGGCCACAGTTTGCGAAAGTTATCACCAGACTTGACGTATGGTGGACGGCCTACTGTGAACGTCCTTTGTTTAATTATTGTGTTTAAGTCCAGAAAGGATATGTGCATAGATGTCTTAACCGTGTCTAAGTCTGGTGGAATTTATCTTAATAATCATAACAATTTTTATAATTCTTAGACTGTCTCTAATAGTGATGGCTAATGGAGGAGCAAATTTCAATTAAATAAAATTTTATTGTCTGAAGCGTAGCGTAGGACATTTAAGGACGAGTAAAGTGATATCAAAATTGCGTTTTTGATTCCTTAAAAGTTTCGATATTGATGATAAAAATAAAAAAAAATCAAAAAAGCAACTTTAGAAAGTATGTCTGATTTTAGATAACGATTATGAGATAAAAATAAAGAACACATGATAATTATATTTAAATATCAATTACACAATTATGTAAATAATAGAATAATTAATTTTCTTAATGCTTAAAAGTATTATTTTTTCTCGTTAAAGATATTAAATAAATAGGAGAAACACCTATTTATATATATATACATATTTACAAAATCTGATAATATTATTAGGTATACTGCTACTTAATGATTAATTGCATTAAAAATTATTTCCCAAGTATTTATGCATAACTTGGATAATTAATTGGCTTAAACTACCAATGAAATTGACAAATTAAAGTAAATTATAAATTACAAATATCATTTTTAATAATGATTGTATCCTCACCCTCAAAAATTAGAAAATTTTCCATATTGAGTACACGATGTAACTTCTACAAACAATGCAAATCGTATATTTTGTTTTTTTTAGATTATAACATTTATGAATTTAAAGAACTTATAAGGAATTTGCTTAGAGCTATTATAAAAACATTTGTTTATTTTTATTCAAATTTTTATAGATCTTGTATGACCTTTATTAGTATTGTTCGGGTTCTATATTATCTTTACCAAGAAAGTGCGTTTTTGTCTTTGACTTAAATTATTAATTATATTCAGCATATGACTAAGAACTATACTTGCAATTGGATTTCCAGGTAAATTCAGAAATATTTAAATTTTCATTAATACTTTTTTTAAGAGTTCCATAAAGATTCACATTTGCATCAGTTATAATTGAACTGAGTTTTATTTTCAATATTCTAATATTTTGTGTAATTTTTTCTTATGTATAATCTGGAGATGGTTCTTGAGTTATGTTTAAAGCTTTAATGTCTTTAAACCAATAGTGGTACTATACTTACTTCGTGATCACAATAATTTATGGAATAAGAATACTCAAAAAAATTGTACTATTATGTTGCATGATAAAAATATATAATTATTTTGTGATATAGGAAAATAATAAATCAGTTGAAATGTATTATTAAAAAAGTTGCAGAATCCAGAATCAAATTTGTAGTAATTTTTTTGATTCCTTTTCTCCTTGTATAATTTTTTTGATTCAGTATTAACAAACTCACTGAAATCAAAATCAATAAAAAAAAAATTAATGACTTCATCAGGAATTAAATAAAATGGTACTAACATACTAGAATGCAATGTTCTAGTGCATTATTTGAATGTTTCGTACTTATAGCATACTAAAATACAGTGTTTTAGTTATACTTGTTGACTTAATTGTTTTTACATATAATTGCTGAAAATAATTTTGGCTGCTGAAACTGAAAATATTTTCGGCTGCCTTAATTATTTTCGGTTGCCTTAAATATTTTCAGCTGCCTTAATTATTTTCAGCTGCTGTAATTACTTTAAACTACCATAATTATTTTCAGCTGCCTTAATTATTTTTGGCTACCTTAATTATTTTCGACTGTCATAATTATTTTTATATGCTGAAATTAATTATGATTTCACGTTTATAAGTTAAACGTCCGTGAAAATTTTTATAAATATTTTGTAAAAGTTTTCATGGATGTTTGAATTTAAACACGAATATTTCAATGAATATCTATGCTACAAAGATGAATATATATTAACTTGTAGTTAAGATCGATCTATCATAGAAATATCTTAGTAGAAAATCATTTTCTATCACGTAAATCGCGAGCAAAATCAAAAATTTTTATTTTAAATATTATATTATGAGATGAACTAAATCAAGTTATCAAGACCTACAGCCAGTTAAATGTTGAGTTTTTGAATCTTATTGTTTACGGAATTCAAGTGATTGTTTTGTAACATATTTTATTGAATAATCATGCTTGTAAATTAATTTTGATATAAACTTTTCAGGATTCCATTTAAAATGTTTATGCAATGATATGGTGTGGTGGAGGAGTTTACCTTTTTGATTTAGTTGACAAATGCTTGATGCCAAGCAGTTTGGAACATTCTATTCATTAGAGGAAGTATATGTAATTCTCAAAACTTTGCAAATAAAAGTTACTGAAGCTTCAAGTGCATTGATTGGCATTGAATGAAACCATGCAAATATTATTATCAAGATTTATCTTTCTAGCCTTTAAGGTATCCCAATTTACATTTTGCATTAATCTTCAAGGGGGGTTTTCGAGGCTATTATCAAGGTTCTAATAATGATAAGGTATTCTATTTGTATTTGTACAAATTTACAGATTATCGTTACTTAAGGTTCTAATAACGTAACGAAGGAATTGTTAATTTTCTTTTAATCTTATTCTATTTTACAATTGCATGAATCTATCAAAGGCTCTTCTTGCAAGAATTTCGAAATCAACTATAACTAATAGTCCTAATGATAACAGACTAAAAATATAAAAAATAAAGAGAAATACTTTTTCTATATAATCTAAATCTATTAGATATCATAACTTTTCTTTAAAAAAAGCAAAAAATATTAAAAGTGAAGAAAAAGATTAAATAAGAAGAATGCGAAAAATATGAAGAAGAATAACAAAATCATATTATATTAATTAGTGAACATATTTTCATATTTTATTTATCTGTCACATACAATAAGATCTAAGCATAGCAACGGAATTTTAAAAAAAAAGTAGGAAAAAGTGAAATACATAATTGATCTACTTATAAAGTTCGTTATTATTATTTTGGTAGGATACAATAAGAAATCCTAAATTCGTTATTGAAAAAAAAAATATTGATTCGAAGACAATACTAGTAAATTTATGGTCTTAGAGTATAGCTAAACACAAAAAATAAACGTAGAGAATTTTGTTGTTACAGAACTTTTTACAACTGATTCTAAATAATGGATAACGAGGTTCAGGTTACAAATTAAGACATTGATCTTGAGGCCAGGTTTAAAGTTCACAATATATACATTAGTATAAAAGTCCAAAAATCACAATTGGGATTATAATAACAACAGTCCGCAACTTCGGTGTTCTATAAAAAATCGTAATCAATTTCATTTCATTTTTGAAACTGGATTTTGATTTCTATGATTAATAGCTGACAAAATTTGCAACATAAAAGTAAATAAGAATTTAGTAACAATGTACTTCAATAACTTCATTAAATTTCTACAACAAAAAACTGGAGAGCAAGGTTCTCCTTAAAAATTGATATATTGTTGTTATTATATGTTTAAAGTAAATGTAATATATGGAGTCTTTATTGTTCTTTGAACACCTATATTGAGATTAAATCCCTCTTGTGAGGTAGTTATAATCACATTCTGATGTGTAACTTCCAAAATCTTTCAGGACCCAGAGCAAGCAATGTATAGATGGATCATGGAAAGTTTACAAATGTAGAGGATGATTTACCTACCAGATTGTTTCATCGAGTAAAGCTATAAATTACTAAATTTGAATCACAGATATATATTCGTACAATATAGCAAAAACCTAATCTATTTTAATAGGTACTTCTGTTTTCCAAATTCAAAAAGATCTACTGGTTTTCAGTAGAACTTGTCTGTTGATCAGCCAGCTTGAGGTAGTTAAGGTCTAAGTTTTTAAGATTTACTATAGACATTTCGCATTAACATGAAAAAATGGTTTGCGGATTTCACTTGCGTGTTCATCGAATTTAAGTTACACGATATTTTTGGACTGATTGGAACACAAAAAAAAAGTACAAAATCGATTTATGTAACGTGATTTATAAAAAAATTTTTCGATAAAATAAATCTAGTTTCGATTTTTAATTTTTTTTATTTCGAAGAGTGGCGCTAGTAAAAAATTGATAAGATGCCTTCCAAAAAATTAAAATCAAAAGAAAAAGATAAAAAGAAAGATGATATGGATACAAAAATCGAAAATAAAGTAATTGTCGAAAAGAGTAATTCCAAGAGTAAAAAGAAGAAGAAAGATAATGATAAAGTGGATTCGACTACTACAAAATCTACGAAATTCAAGCGAAAAAAAGTTGACGAAGAAGAACAAAATTTGGATACCGAAGGATCAGAAAAGAGTATTAGCAGTGATAGTAGAAATGATAAGAAGTCCAAGAGGCGTAAAACCGAAAAAAATTCTTTAGAGATGGATGAAAACGATACTGATGTTATTATGAATGATTTAAAAAAAAAAAAAATTGAAGTAGTTGAAGTAACCGAGACTGACGAGATTCTCGAGAATTTAAAATTTACTTCATATCGACTTACTCAATCAACATTGGATGCATTGAAGAATCGCGGTATACTTTCATTATTTCCTATCCAAGCTTCCACTTTTGATTTGATTTATGATGGAAAAGATGTTTTAGCGAGAGCTAAGGTTTGTTTCACATGCCTTTTTTTGTATACTTGTTTCATATGTTTGTTTTGATTGATTTTATTAATTTAAATAAATTTCTTAATTCTTTCCTTCATATATGCTCACATAATTTTTACTATAAATGTTTAATATTCATATTTAATATAATTTTTTTTAGACAGGGACAGGAAAAACTTTAGCATTTGCACTTCCCATAATCGAAATATTATTAAAACATAAACAAGATAAAAAATTTAGTAGTTTTAAACGAGGTCGTCTTCCCAAAGTAATAGTAATGACACCCACTCGTGATTTAGCCAAACAAATTTCCACCGAATTTGAATCGATTGCACCGAGTTTAAAAATTTTATGCATTTACGGTGGGGTGGCTTATGATTTACAAAATCAAGGTTTACGTGAAGGAATTGACATATTAGTTGGTACACCAGGTCGAGTTTTAGATCATATCGATCGAGGAAATTTAAAATTAAGTGAAGTCAACTTTATAGTATTAGACGAAGCAGATCAAATGTTAGATATTGGATTCTCTGAAGCAATGGAAACCGTTTTACAAACTGTTAAACAACATAAAGAAGAGCAACAACAAGATAAAGGAGTCGATTATCAAACACTTTTGTTCTCGGCCACAGTTCCAGATTGGGTTAGAAAAACTGTAAAGAAATATTTAAAAGCCGATTATGTGAATGTGGATTTAATAGGGAAAGAAGAAACAAAGACTAATGGTATATAATATAGGAATTTTTATTAAATATATTTAATATATTAGATACGAAGAATATATTTTATTGTAATATGAATTAAATCTTATTTTTTATTTTATGTATAGAAAATATTCGTCATTACGGCATTCGTTCAGCATGGAGCACACGAAAAGATATAATTGGGGATGTTGTAACATGTTATGGCGGTTCAGGATCTTGTGTTATTTTTTGTAATACTAAAAATGATGCTAATGGTATGAATTTTTTTTATCGTTATTTTTATATTATTATTTTTTTAAAAGAAAAAAATAATTGAAATCAATTAATTAGATATATTAAATATTTATTTAATTATTTATTCTAGAACTTGCACTTAATGATAAGTTGAAGCAAGATGCTCAAGTATTGCACGGAGATATTGCTCAATCACAAAGAGAAATTACTATGAAAGGTTTCAGAGAGGGTAAATTTAAATGTATCATTTGTACTGATGTTCTAGCTCGAGGAATTGATATTCCACAAGTTGGTAAGTTTAATTATGTTTATTTTGTTTGTGATTCTTTAAATTCATTAATAAATGAATATAAATATAAATAATAAATAATTTTTATTTTTATTTATTTATTTATTTATTTATTTATTTATTACAGATTTAGTAATTAATTGTGAACCTCCCAAAGATGTTGAATCATATGTTCATCGAGCAGGTAGAACTGCAAGAGCTGGAAGATTAGGTACGGCAGTAACATTATTTAAACCGCAAGAAGAATATTTATTATCAAATATACAACGACGTGCCGGTGTTACATTTCATATGGTTGGACCACCTCAACCTCAAGATATTATTGCTGCAACCGCAAATGATGCAGTAAAAAATTTAGAATCAGTTGAAAGTAGTGTATTACCATATTTTAATGAGACAGCTAAAGAATTAATAAATTCCCAAGGAGCAATTGAAGCTCTAAGTGCGGCATTAGCATACATGAGTGGATATGCCGGAGGAATTAAGAAACGTTCTTTAATGTCAGCTATGGAAGGTTATACAACAATATTATTTAAATTTAGTTTTCCAATTCGACATACTAGTTACGTTCGAAGTATTTTTAAAAAGAATTTTTCCGATTTATCAGAGGATAGTGTAAAAGGATATAAGATGACAAAAGATATGCAAGGAGTTGTTTGTGATATTGATAATAATAAATTAGAAATTGGAAATGATGGACAACTAATATTAGCAGGAAGACCGTGGTATAATACTCCAACAACGACATTAGAAGTGGTGAAGCAATTACCGGAATTACAAGAAGTTAATAATAATGGTAACGGTAATGGATATGGAAATTCTAATTGGAATCGAGGAGGAGGAAGTAATGGTAATGGAAATTCTAATTGGAATCGGGGAGGAAATTATAATAAATTTGGAAGGAATGGTGGAAGCAATCGTGGAAGATATAATGGAAGATATACATAAATTATGATAAAGTTATTATTATTATTATTATTATTATTTTTAAAATTATTGTTTTTATGTATTATCCTATTAATCTATGAATTGAATTTATATTTTGTATTTTATTGTTATTTTTATTTTTTATTTTTTTTTTTAAAAAAAAAGGGTAAGAAAAAGTAATCTTTAGATAAAATAGATTAAATTTTCTATTAATGTTAACATAGATTTTATTATTTTTAGAATTGTTAATTCTACTATATAATCCTTTTTCTTGAAAACCAAAAAAAAATATCAATGTCTGTCAAAGGACTGTCCAATTAATTGTTATTAATTCTTTAAATCAAGAAATAAAATTAATATTCTATACATTATTATATTATTATTATTATTATTATTATTATTGTACCTATACTTTGATTTTTTTAGTGTATTCGCTATTAAAATATCTATATAATTTTTATAATTGTTATAAATCGATTATATCAAATTTACTATTATTTTCACTTTTACCACCACTATCAATATTAATAGAGGAAAATCCATCTTGTTCATTATTTTCACTCTTTTCATTCTTTTCATTATTTTTATTCTTATCATTATTTTCATACTTATCATTATTTTCATTCTTTCCATCCTTTTCATTGTCATAATAATCACCACTTGAATACCCTGAATGTCTTAATTGTACATTATCATTTAATCCTTTTCCTATTTTACCACTTCCTCTTATTCTTCTTATACTATTATTAAAATTATTATTAAAATTATTATATTGTAATTCAATAGGCATTCTATTAGGATTTATTCTAAAAATAGGTTCAGGTTTAATAATTGCTATTCTTTTAGTATAAGCAGCTGAATTTCTACGTTCATCTTCTTCTTCAATTTGTTCAAGGGTTGGATGTAATAATGGTGAAGAAAATGATGATGAATGATGATTTGAAGATTGATGCATTAATAATAATAATGATTTATATTTAGGATTTATGAAAAATCTTGAAAATTTACGAAATCGGATTAAGAATAATATTGAAATCATTGTTATTACTTTGGATAAATCTTCTGTTATCTAATATATTGATATAGTATTGTTTTTTGATAAGAACAATATAGAAAGAGAGTTATTGAATAATAATTTGTAAAAATATTTAATAATCATAATCATAATAATCAAAGAGGGAATTTTAAAAATATACCCTTATTATCCAGAAATTCTTTATGGTTGGTTTGTTGAAATTTAATAAAATAATATCCGAAATTGTTAATAAAGAAAATGATAATATCAGGATTATCATAATTATTAAGACCTAAAATCATTCATAATAATATATAATATATAACAATTATAATAAAAATATATAATATTGAATATAATAAATAATATATATATATATATAATGATACCTGAAATGCATTCTTTTTATCAGCTTTCCTAGAAAATTTGAATAGCAAAGATTCACCAATCTTCTCATTAATTTCATGATCAGTTGCCAAAGAATAAATTATAAAAAAACCAAAAATAAGATATCCAAAATTCATTGATATAATAAATATAATAAATAAAGATTTATCCAAAATTGATAAATATTGATAATGATGTTCAAAAGATAATAAAATTAATATCTCCAAGAATAATATTACTAAGGTAATTATTAGTATATTTATAAATAAAAGAGATCTTTGACAATTTGATAGTAATTTAATTATTGATGATAATTTTTGATCATATTTTGTTATTTCTGTTGTTGCTTTTATCCTATTAAAATAAATGAAATTAAACTAATTAAATAGAAAGACAAAATAATAATTAATAAATAATATATATAATTCTCATACCATGAATATTGTAAACAGATAAAAATTATGCAAATCAGAAAGAAAATAAATTTTGTTATCATTAAATAATTAAATGAAGAGAGATGATTTTTTCTTAAGTTTCCTGGATCAATGTTAAGAACTATTAATGAAGCTAAGAAAATAAGAAGAGTAGAAGAATAAATAATTAATTTAATGAATAATTATTAAAAAATAAAAATAAATTAAATTCTAGACTTACTAATTGAACAAAAAGCAATTCCAGGTAAAATCAATAAATTTGGATTTAACAAAATATTGCATAAATATTCAGGATTCCATTCATAATTGCAAGATCCGGAAAAAAAATAACGACATGAAAATAAAAATATTCCACAATATATTACACTAATGATAATAGAAAATGCAATCCATTCTTTACTTTTGAGTAATTGAACCCATGGACCAACATCTTGATATAAAATTTTGATATGAAATTGTGAAATATATTTACATGAAATATGAAATGAACATAATATAAAATAATAATATGAATAATACCTGATGTCACTGAAACATGAATCGTTTGATTTGCTAAATTTATTATTTGATTCATATCATCACTTCGAAGTAAAGTTAATCCAACTCTAGCTTCTTGCATTATTAAAAAATTATTGATTGGTTCTTTCACTCCAGGATCTCCTCCACCATTTATTGAAGTAAAAACAATTACTTGAGGAATTCCAGAAGAATAAGATAATGTATTATTATTAGTAGTATTATTATTGTTGTTATTGGGTATTAAATAAGTTCCGTTATATAAAATTTTTGTTTCATTTGTTTGATTATCAATTGGTGATGGTATCATATCTTGTATTATCCATTTATTCCTATTAAAATATAATAAAATATAATATGATATAATAAAATATAATATGATATAATAAAATATAATATGATATAATAAAATATAATGAATTTAATATAAAATATAATATAATATAATATAATAAAATATAATAAATATAATAAAATATAATAAACATATTTCTTAATCTCATAGTAAAAGATGTTGTATTATTATTACTTTTTACCTTGATATCAAATCATCAATTGAATTACAGCCAAGATTTAAAGCTTTATCAAAAGGAATAACTAATAAAGCGATTCCCCAAGAAATAGGTTTAAGTGTACATGATGATAAAGAATTATTATTATAGTTATTGCTGTTATCATTATAAAATTGAGCAATTTCTAATGTCCCTTCAATTATCGTATCTTTTTTATAATAATTAATTTTATTATAAATAGGATTTTTATTTGAATAATGTAAAAATAAAAAATCTACATTAGGCAAGGATGCTAACTCATTATTATTATTGAGATTATTATCTGACTCATATAATGATATTTTTGCTTCAACAGCATTTAATAAATTAAATATAATAAAAAAATATAATATTACTAATTTAAAATGAATTTTCATAAAATTTGTGGTAAATTTCGTTGTATTCATTATTAATTGATTCATTTGATTTATTTTTTTGTCGTTGAATAACTTTTTTTCTTAAATAATAATAAATAAATAAGGTAAAGGAGATGATTGTAATATGCATTGTACAAAATTGTGTTCAATCTTTATAAATAAAATATTTCATTGTTAGCTCAAAAAAAATTATAATGATATTATAAGCCAACAGATAATCGCTCGCTTAGCGCGATCTTCGGTATATATTTTTTATTCTAAAGCAAAGGGATTTATAGATGTTTTTTTCAAAATTCTGATTTATATAAAATTTTAAGTAAAAATTTAACAATTGGGTGGGTATATCAAGTAACTTATATAGTGCAAGACCAATCAGTAGAAGAAATAGATCCTCTTGAAAAATAAAAAACAAAAACAAAAAATAAATAGGCGACTACGATTTTTGCAAGGGGGAAATTTTTAATTGAATGGAAAAAATATTTAATAAAAATGTAAATAAGGCCATAACAAAATTTTAGATTATAAATAAACTTAGAATATATCTAATTCAAATTAAACTATAAAATAAAATAAAATAATAAAAAATATTTTTAATAATAATCAATATAATTTTTAACATCCATTTTTGTTAAAAATTCCACCCATGAAATATAAAATTTGTTAAATTCCACGTGATTAAGAAATAAAGTTAACCGCTCTTTGGCTTGTTTTTTAATTCTACTGGATCTGTTCTTTTTTTTTTTAATGTACAATATTATAATGAAGAAAACTCATTCCATAATTTTCTAATTAAAAATGCATGTAAAGGTAAAAATAATAATTTTAAATTAAATGCTCTAATACCTTTTTTTTTTGTCATGAAGTATATGTTTTCACAAAATCGAAAGATATTTTTAAATGTTTTATTTCATCTAATATTACTTTTTTTCGAACCCTTAATCGTATGTGAAAGCTTTATTAAATATGTTTTAAGTACAAAAGAACCCAATCCGAATGGCATATGTCTTATATTAGAGTATAAAATATTGATAGTTATTAGTTACCTAAGATTTTAAACACCACTACTCAAAACAAATATGCACCTTATAGACATAACAGCTGAAGCAAAATAATACTTAATCCATGCTCACTGGTCAACAATAGAAAGCTATCTCTAAATACAGTCAAGGTGAATGTTTTGATACTTTTACAAAGGCAGAGTTAAACCCCAAAACCCCTCAACCTCACCTAATGATTCAGACTAAACTGTTTAGCATCTTTTTAACTTTTTTAATTTTATTAATTTTTTTTTTTAATATAATACAATTATATTTCACCCGGTATTTTTGCCTTTAAATTTTACTCATTGTATCCTAAACACCTTAAACTGTCCTAAACTCTTTAGCCAAATTATTAGCCTCACCCCACACATTGTGTTTGGGAAGTTTCCATTCTTGAACTCACTAACATTGTACATTTTATACAAATGAAGTTTATTTTGACCCTTTCCAAACAATTGATATATGTATAATTGTCCAACAACTAATAAATACATCAAAGTGTTTTGTCATACTAACAACCAATAACTAATCCTCAAACAAGCAATGATCACGCGAATCCTTTACATGTGACAAGCACTTACTTGTGATATATTCTGCCACATCTTTTCACTTGACAAATATCTTTTCTTTCAATTGTGCACCATTTCACTCGTAAGCACTTACAAGAATAATACTAATGTACAAAACCTTTCATAATTCTTTATTAAAAATAATACTTCCTAGGTCTTCTACTTGAATTATGATCAATTAACCTAATTAGGTTTACCAATTATGTGGTGTAAAGGATTTGATGTTACGGGTTTGTTTGAAAGAGGCTAAGGTATGAGGATTTTTAAAGGGGTATGGAATTTTTATACTAAGTCAACAGATATTCACAAAGAATATTATTAGTTTCACACAGAAATTACAAAAATTTACACAGAATTAATATAATTAATCAAGATCACGAAACAAGGTTAATTATAAACAAAATAATACTGAGATCACAAAGCAAGGTATTATTATCAAACAGTATTTCACTAAGAAATCAAAGGGTTCAAATTATTATTTGTCACAAAGACTTTTGTTAATAATTTATTACATATATCAAGTTCAAAATATAATCAAGTTCTAACTATCCTAACTCTAAGAACAAAAGTTACTTCTATTTATACAAAATTGTCCTCCTTTCGTGAGACTATAATTACTAATCTTAAGAAAGCTCTAGAAATTTCCATAACATTCTGGAAGGTTCTATGAACTATTTTTGCTAATGAATTATTTGTACTAGAGGTGTTTACCAGAGGTGGCGACCAGAGGTATTAATCAAAGGTGTCAACTAGAGGTATCGACCTCGCATCACAATAAAAATAATCTATATCTGTTACTTGTAAATAATAGTACTAATATATAATGTTATACAAATAAAGAAATCTAGCTAATAAACTAATATAATAATGTTAATAAATAAGATATATAAAAATTAAGAAATAAGGCTAACAATATATATCTTGAATTATCAGATGGAATTAAGTGGCCTTATTATTTTATCACTGAATCTGCTGAAACTGGAAAATCTTATATAATTAATTTAATTAAAAATATGCTTGATTAAAGACATACAAATTATTTATTATTATTACCTACTGGTGTTGCTGTACAAAATATTAATAGTTGAACTATTTATTCAGAATTACAAATTACTTTTAATTCTGAAAATTTTTATAATGAGTTCATTCCAATCATGAACTTGTTAAAAGGTTAAAAAAGATTAATACTCTTATTATTGATAAAATTTTATTAGTTTTAGTTAATCTATTTAATTTATTTTTAATATTTTTGCAAGTTTACATAATAATGCAAATGCATTTGATGAAATTAATATGATAGTAGTTAAAGATCTTACTCAACTTCCACCTATTACAGGACAACCTGAATTCAAATCATGTATTTGGTAATTATTTTATTCATTATTTTTTAGAACAAGTTAATATCAAAATAATGATTCAGAATTTTATAAAAATGTTAAAAGAAATTCAATTTAATAATATTTCATCTAAAACATGAAATTTATTATAACAATATATTTATGAATTCTTAATATACTCTACTATTGATTCATTACTTAATATAACACATATTATAAGTTTTCAAGAAAGTGTACAGCAAATTAATAGAATGATTTGTAACTTATTACCTATTCCAAATGACAAATTTTTAATTTCAAGAGTATTAGATTTAATGGGTTCTGAATCATGGGATACTTATGATTCAGAACAAATCTTTAAATTAAAAACAAATTTACCTT